TAATTTCCGAAACCTCAGGGGTATCTGTAATTTAACCAAACCTGGAAGGGTGTATATGTAATTTGCCCTATATATTACAGAGTCTAAACCCTAACCCCTCACTCCCTCTCACTCTCTCTCTCTCCTCTCTTTTATCTCCCCCGCCTCCTTGGTCGTCTCCTCTGGTGGCCCCACCGGCGACACCACTGCCTCCGCCACCACCTCCTCCTCCCTCGCCGCCGTCTTTCTCTTCTCCTATTCTCTTCACTGATCTTCACCGGTCGTCTACTTCGTCTTCTCCACCCTCGTCGTCGGTTCCAAAACCCTAACCCTACAAAGGACTACCGCCGGACTCGTCAGAATGGCGATCTCAAACGGGCTGATTGCGATGAAAGATCAGGCAATCTTCTCTGATCAGAACTCTGCACCTGATTCAGCCTTGAGGTACACCCCACTCTCCTCTCATTCTCTGCGCCTCTGTTTTTCACTTTTTTTATTTTCTTCACTTTCCTCTCAATGAATTCAAGATTCAGATTTCTTTTTTTGTTTATATTTTCCATTTTTTTCCCCTCAGAAATCAAAAGATTGGATCAATATACGCCTCTCTTGTCTCAAATCCATGTTTAATTTTTTCCTTCTTGTTGATTTCAAATTCTACTGAAGATTTTTTGTTCTTTAATGTTCATTAGTTAACTGTGTCTGTGAAGCCCCAAACTGACATTGAAGGCCTCAACATTGCCGATGATGTCTCTCAGGTGAGTCAGTCAATTCTTTTTTGCTGAAATTCACAAGAGTTGTCAAGTGGGTACTTGTTATTTCTTACAGTTTTGATTTTGAACTAGCAAGTTTTTCAAATTGATGATGTGTTAATTTAAATTCTGTAGAGCTTCCTTAAAACTCTAAGAAGAATGAGAATAAGGTTTGAATATAAAATAAGATGATGAAAATTTTGTGGAATAACAATAAGAACTAATTGAGTATAAGGTTTGGGTGCTTTCAGAATAAGGTTTTCTGTTTAGGTTGGATATTAGCACAATATGGAATCTTCAATTTAATCTACAGCCATGGGTTCAAGGAAAATGTCCTGTCCAAACAACATGCTATTCCTGTACTAATATAAATATATTCCTTTACTTTTAAGACTTCTCAAAATCATCAATTTGAATTCTCGGCAATAGAGGCAGGAGAATGGGCAGAGCTAAAGCGTTGAGCTCAAGCTTATATGGTTAGGAGCTTGATGTTTAGGGGTGAAAGGTCTTTACTTTTGCTCTCTTTGCAAAGGCAGCCATCACATTGTTTTTAGTTTTAAATAAATGAGAAACCATCAAATAGAAAATAAGAGCGTGAGGTTAATACAACTACCCAAACTTAACTAAATTTAGCTGTGAAATTTTGGATGGAGACATTTTAATTTCAATTCACAAAATTTTGATAATGGAAACACATCCAAAGTAACTGGTAAAGCTTTGGGTGGCATTTCTTTTATCTGTATGTTGGTTTTTGAGTTATGAGATTTCAAATTCTTTGAGTGTTCACACTGGTTTGCTAATTGTCCAGAAATTAAGAAGTTTGTTTGTTATTTTAAACTTGAATTTATTGTGATAAAGAAAGATCTATCTTGTGTGTGGGCAATGTCCCTTGCTTTGTTCAGCAATTTTTAAGGATAAATAATCTTTAATATACTATTGTTCTGCCTCACACTATCCCTGTGAGAGGCTAAAAGACGAAAAAAAAGGGAGTGTGAATCATTTTACTACACAATATGGAACTCTTGTTGCGAACTGAATTACCTATATCATTTTTCTTGTCTTTTGCTTCTTTATGCAAAATCAATTATGCTACAATCTGTAGCATAACCATGGACCCATCATCTGGATTCTTCAGTGTGTCCAAGTTGAGGTTATATTGGAGTTGGTTGCTGTCATAATCGATTCTAGACCAAGTATAAGGAAGGGTATATTACAAGGCAAATGCTTTTAAAACCGAACTGGCTAGGTCGATCGGCCTAGGTTCTGATCTGGATAAACCCTAACCCGTTTTAATTTGAAAACTGGCTTCTTTTTATTCAACCGGCAAAACCTATAGTTAAACTGGCTAACCGCATGAATTGGTTCGGTTGGTTTAAGTAAACCGACCGAACCTAAGAGTTTCCAATGTACTTGGTTCAGGCATTGCAAAAATCACTATTATGGGTCTCGAACACAACACCTCATTTATGATTACTTGTTCACTTTACCACTAAACCACCATGGTTAACATATATTATTTATTATATCCATTGCATTTTCTTTCAAGCACAAGTATAATTAACTATTTAAAAAACAATATATCAATATAAAAGAAAAATAAATGAATGTATCTTTATACTTATCTTATTATTTAAGTAATTTTTAATATATTTGTAGGGTAATTATTATGCACGGTTCAATTTTGGTGGAACTCGACGGTGTGGAACCAGGGACCCTTTTTTGGTTTAACCAATGGTTTAGGTTTCAGAACATTTTTCAGGGTCACTCTATAGGATTGGGGTTGTGGATGAACTGGGGATCACTTATTGAAAACTAAAATTTATTTTGACTAACCCAAATCTGTAAATATATTATAATTACCAAAGGGTCATTCCTGTCACATGGTCAGCTTATTTGAAGCAAATAGTGCCTTTTTTCTTTGTGGATTGAAGTTTATTTTTCCTGTTTACATGCAAATATTGAGCTGTCTTGCTTTCAGCATTTCTTGCTTTTGTTAAAGTTACAGAAACAGTCTTTTCTTTTTGTCATTTATTCTAGTAGGAGATCGGGTGAAGTTGTTTACTGCATGTTTCTCTATTTGAACTGTTGTCTGATGTTTTTTCATTGCCTTGAGCGTTAGTAATAAATTCATTTATCATGATATTTAATGCCTTCTCTTGATTGTTTGAACTATGTAGTTTTGTTTTGTTTTGTTTTGTTTTATTTTATTTTCCTAGACAGAACTTTGTCCTCTTTGGAGTTGCCTAGGGCTGTTGCTGTTGCAACTGTGCCATCTTCACCTATCTCAAATGGTGGGCCCCCCTCATGAAAATCAAGACAGGACTGAAGTAGGTACTTTTGATGGAACTGGCAGGCTTAAGTTCAGGATCCTGCTCAATATATTTCAATTCAACTATGGGTGTGTTTGTTTTGTTTTTTTTTTTTTTTTTTCCTTTCTTTTTTTTTTTTTTTTTTTTTCTTTTTTGGGTGTGTAAATATTTGTGTTTCATGGAAATTTATTGTGATTTACACTAGGAAATTCTTGACAATTTTTAGTTTTTTATCTTGTCATTTTTTTTTGTTTTGAAATGTTACTTGTGTTTTAGTACAAGCTGGAAAGGGTGCATTTACTAGATCACATATATAAATGCTTAGTATCAGTAAATTTTTTCATCTTTGCTATTCTTTTGAGTTATGTCTGAGTTCAAATATTATGCTGTATATGCACTTCAGCTACATAATCTACTGGCTGATGCTATTGGTTGGTATATGGCATCTCTGTCCTTGTCATTAGCCTTTTGCTGTTTGTAGTCTTTGGATTATTATAGTATTGTTGGTGACTTCACTGGCTGCCAGTTCAGTTGGTATTTTTGATAACCTAAGAGTTGAAATTACGATTTTCTTTATATTGTTATTTCAACTTTTTTTTTGCCTCTTATTATTACTTTATTTTTATTATTATTTTTTTTGGGATAAATCAAAGAAAGTGACTTGAAGGTTGGACTTACTTGTGATAAAGAGTCGGTGTGATGAGAAAAGATCCGATTTTATCTTTTGTAAGACTAGAACAATCTCTAGAAATAGTTAGTTTATTCATGTACTTCTAGCGGTTTCTAAATTAATTTGTGTTTTCTTTTTTCAAGTCAAAAATTTCTTAGAGATGCAAAATATGGTCAGAATTCAAAACTTAGTTTTTCAAGTTTTTTCAATTTTTAATTTATGTAAGCACAGTTAAAAACTTTTTATTTAATTCCTTTGTATATACTTTTGAACATATTTAACTTTCATTTATGAAATATATGACGTTATTCCATTTAATATGTGGTTGTGATTCAAATTATAGTATATAGTGTGTATTACATCTTTCAAATGCGCGTATAAAAATAATATTGATTATTTTTCAAATATGTTGAACCTTTTTTTTATCACATGCATTAATTGTGATAAGAAATGCATATAATGTATGATATCTTATTATTAATCACAGGTTTTATTAGATATTAATCATACTTAAAATTTGTGATCTAAATGTTTATTATCACAAGTTTTATTAGTTATTAATCACACTTAAAAGATGTGATCTAAATGTTATTAATCACACTTAAAAGATGTGATCTAAACATTTATTATCACAGGTTTTATTAGTTATTTATCACATTTAAAAGATGTGATCTAAATGTTATTAATCACACTTAAAAGATGTGATCTAAATGTTATTAATCACACTTAATCATTTTTAATCACTCTCTCAAAGATCACATTTTGACAAAACTTAAATAGTGTGATTAAATAGCATACATCACACAAAAAAAGTATGATCTATTTATGATTTTTGTAGTAGTGGCTTCCACCTTTAAAAGAGATGAATGAGCTAAAAAAATGGTTGAAATTGTGTTTCATTGATCTAAAAATGGTGAGGAAGCTTAAATGATTCTTGAAAAATAATGATTATAGTACTTACTTTTTCATAATATACTTGACAAATATATATATATATATAGGAAATTAAAATTACTTTTTGTTGACTACACAAGAGTACACTAGTAAGGGGCCTTCATTTTGTTCTTTCATTTTAATTGGATGTTCGTGGCGCAGGGATGGGAAGTCACGGCCAATGAAAAGTCCCTTCAATACCCTAAGAAGGTATTCTGTCAAATTGTCTTCTCATCAGCGGACTATTCTGCGAACTAAATAATTGAGACACATGATAGGGCGCTCTCTTATAGCTTCAGCTAGGCGGATATGAAGGAAAGAAACTACCTAGCTAATAACTCCCAACTAGCTACATCTTTAGGAGAGGGAGGCCCTTATCTCATGCCTAAGTCAGGAATGGAGGGACGGTTAAGAATTCGAGCTACAAGCGCGATTAAAGTAACTCTGCTTCTTCCCTATTCCTTCTCGCTACCTAGGAAAGAGATTCTATTAGTTAGGTTAGCTCGTTAACAACGTCTATAGGTTTAAGAATTCCTTAAGAGCTAAGAGGGAAGGTCCTCCGCTTAGAGTTATATAAAAGAAGGAGAGTGCGGCTACCCTTACTCGAGACCCCTTAACCCTCTTACTTATTAATTAATAGGGGAAAATGCGCTCACAAGGGACGACACAGGCTGGCTCACGCTCAAGTGAACCGGGCCGCTTATTCGTATTAGTGATCAAGCTTTCTTTCCGCTCAGTCATAGGTAGAAGATCGGTAGCCAGAAGGACAGTGGAGAATTCTTCAACCAAAAAAGAAAAAGAGGGCTCTCTCAAGGTGTACCTATGAATCCAATCAACTATTTGCACGGAACCTTTACTTAGAAGGGGTTGTTGATCCTGGTTTTTTTAATGTAAGAAGTAGGTCTTCAATCCCCTCTACTAAGTAAGGGGTCTTCTTCTCTTCTGTCCGAATAAGGCAGTAGCGCGTAAGGCCCGCTTGCTGTCCCCTTCGAATAAGCTCTTTCGAAAGCGATCTTCAGGAAGCGAAAGCGAGCTCGCCCTACTCGATTAAGGATAGGAGAGGAAGCGAATCAGTCTAAGATTTTCCTTTCTCGCTTCGGAAGGTTAAAGAAGGGAAAGCCCCCCTCGGAATTTGACCATGAGTTCACAGCTTAGGATAAGAAGGAACCCATCCCGTCTTTCATTAAAGCAATGGTCTACGACTCCGCTGCTTGCTTAGGATAGGAGAGCTCCTTTGTTATTTTTGTTCTACCGTTAAGAGAAGGATCACAAGCCCTAGTCCCAAGCTAAACTATTTATTCATCTGCACCGGAAAGGGATTCATGAGCAAGAGCTTATTTTTAAGCTTCTTCAACAAAAGCAATTCTCTCTCCTTCCGTACCTGTTCAGCCGTGAACCACTTGGCTTCTGTGGCGAGAACATTTCCCACCCCACTCTGTAGAGAGAGCTTTTTCTCTCTTCTTCGGGCTCTCTTTAGTTTGGCCGGTCTTCGGTTAACACCGGCTGTCGATCAGGAATGAGGTCGTCGATCTCCAACTCAACCTCAGGTTCAGCCGCCTCATCCAAGATGGAGGGCTCTTTCAATCTCAGCTGATCAACATTGAAGACGGGGTGGCGGGCAGTTCTAGTTTGAACGCATTCTCCCCGACCTTCTCTTGCAGAGTGAATGGTCCCGCAATGGTTTAAGCTTGCGGTTGGTACCCTTCCTTAAGCAACTTTAACCACAGTCGATCTCCCACCTGGAACTTATGATCGGTTCCGTCTCGGTCGTGCCTTTGCTTCTGTTGCCTCTGCGTTTTCTCCAGAGTATCAGCAACCTGCCCATGGTACCGCCGTTCTCCAGGAAACTAACGGCTCGCAGCTGTTCAGCCGCTTCTCTAGGAGATAGGAGATGTGCCGCTGACTGGGTTCAGGACACAACCATCGTCCGAACCGTCTGCTACCAAGTCCATGGGGGCCTTTGGTTGGAACCCATAACAAACTGAAAAAGCACTTCTGCCGGTCGACGAATGCGTGTTCCGGTTGTAGCAGTGTTGAATGAACGGCAGGTTTGGAACCAGACCGGGTAACTTTAAAGGTGGTCCCGATGTTAGATTCTCAAGAACCGACGGTTCTCTTGGTGACCCATTCAAAATAAGCTGGCCGCTTTGACTTTGATTAGCCAATCGAGTGCGGGGGGTGCAGTGCTCCTCTTCATTTGTTCCCGACCACAAAGCCCTTAACTGCTCCTCCTCGCTACTTGCCCACTTGCCCTTTTTTACTACTTTGACTAGCGCCCGGCAAAGGAATGATTTTTCCCAAAGCCCTTTATCGAGCGGCTCTCTCTGTTGACGATAAAAGCGATGGTCCGGGCTGGGCTGTCTGAAATAAGCGGTCATTTTGGTCAGTCCCAATACCACGTGAAACGCGTGATCACCCAGATTCCTAATGCCTTAATTATCTTATATATATAATATATAACTTATCGACGTCAGCCCTTCTATTTTCCTATCTTCACCCTTCCTACTCCAGCTAATGGAAAAATGCCTTTGAATGGTCGTAATCGTCGACAACCCAACCGACGTCCACCATAGGCTCGGCGAGCTGTCCTCCTAGATTTCCCGATGGTAATGCCAGGGCCTTTTCAGTACTGACGACTCTTGATGCCAAGAAGGAGACCGACTAGACGGGACAGACCATTGTTCATAGGTTGGGCCCGGAGATCGAATCTGATTCATCCCCTTTGAGAGGGATTCTCGTGCCAACCATAGGAAGAAGAACTCGGTTACTCATCTTGGATCGCATTGGATCAATAGCTTTGTGCTGATCTACGAACGACCCTTCTATTTATTTGATTTCTACTTCTTCAAGTCTCCATCATCCCGATCTCTCTTTCCGGGTTTGCCTGTCCAAAGAAAACAGAACCTCTTCTAGTTCAAGGTCGGAATCCTCAAACCAATCAAAATATGATTTCTAGTTCACTATTCTTATGATAAGCAGTTATGTCTCATTCATGTGATGAGAAATATGAGAATGAAAATTATAAAATTTCACATCTACGGCGGATTCTGTGCCCCAAATCATTTATACTTATGAAACTAAGCAGGCGGACCCCTCTCCAATGGAACAAAGGGGATCCGTAGGGCGGACTCACTCACATACTGGATAGGTGGCTCGGAATTCTAGTGCTAGTTCCGTTCCCTCGGGGAAGAGAAAGCACGAATCTATTACAATCTTAGTAGAGAACAGAGGAGGAATAAAAACGTTGGTTCTTCGTTCCGTCCTTGACCTATGATATGATCAATGGCTTAATCCATCCACTGGACCACCTGGAATTCTTAATTAAACCTTTACCCGAAAAAGGAAATTGGATTTTCTCATTCAGCACGGTGCAGCCTACACTTTGATGAGCACAGCGCAGTTCACGTTACAGCTACTTTCTTGTCTGCAATTATACTACGAGAATTTTCATTTAGCTTAAGAACCCATTTCCGCCGGGGAA